TTTATTTTTTAAAATAATATTTAGCTTACAACTTGTTTTCGAACATTCCTGGAAAATATTAAAATGTCGTCTTCATTACCAAAAATCCTCGAAACAGGAATAAATGTTTTTATAAGGAACTCTCAGATCATAACAATTATTACTGGTACACCTTACCTACTAGACTTTGTAACTCGTATATATTTTATATATTTTATATATTTTATATAATTTATATACTTTACACATTTTATAAATATTTTATAAAAACAATGTTGACACTACAAACAACCAAAATGTAAAAATATAATAGCTATAACGAAAGCCCAAGTCACTGAAAATTTTAAAAGCAACTAAAAACCGAGTCTAACTTATGCTAGAGTCTTAGTTCATGCTTTACTCGGACATAACCCTACGCTAAAGTTGTCTTCTACTCGGGTTTATGCTTATAAAATCAATTTGCAGGAATAATAGAAGATCCCCCGGGATTATCTGATTTACCTTTGGGTGGCATATCCTCTCTTTTAATACTGATAAACTCCTCCTTCTCGTCTTCATCCTCACTTAGCTACAGAGAGTAAAATCAATCAATCAATCAATCAATCAATCAATTAACCTACCTGCCCAAATAGATTCAAGTATAATAGATGGCAATGTAGAATTTAAGCACTCTCAGTAGAGCTGTATTGTGACGTCACAAGTCTAAATTCAGTTTTGTGTCCGACAAATTTATTAATGATAGTGATAATTTTAGAATGAATTGCGTATCTTACAGTAGAATAAAGTGCAATTTTATGAGTTATTTATTTTCTGTTTTTACACTTTTTTATTTTATCATGGAAAACATGTCAACTAATGTGAGACAATTTCGTTTTCCTTGTTATATTTGACACTTGTGACGTCATAATCAATTGGTCCAATTCTCTGAACCTATTGTACTTGATAATCTATTTGTACCTGCCTACCAACCTACACTCTGTATGTATGTATTTATGTATGTATGTATGTATGTATGTATGTATGTCTGTCTGTCTGTCTGTCTGTCTGTCTGTACCTGAATATTGTCTAGCTGTCGTCTGATCCATGAATATTTAAGAGTTGTCAAATTTGTCCACAGACCCGGCTCTGTTTTCTCCAGAACTATATTCACATTTCTAAAAGTAGGTTTTTATGTAAAAACTAGCCTAGGAACCCAGCTATACCCGGTAACTAACAACCAACTCAATTTAGAAATTTTAAACCAAGCTACGAACATTCCTGTGGTTCATGAGTTATGATCGGACTAACAAACAAACAGACAAACAGAGATTACTAATTTATGACCAAGGATTTAATGCAAGGAAAGTTATTTCAGAGGTGTACGCATCTTTTGTACTGCAGTGTACTGTCACTGGGCGGTAATGTTAACACAAGACGGATGTTACAGCCTGAGATGGGATCCATCTTTCACATAAAAAATCAATGAAATATTCTGCCCATAGGAAACTAATATGTGAATTATTATAATTATCAAAATATAATGCTTTTAACCTCCTTGGATACTAAACGAACACTGTGCATCTATTCTTGTTTACAAATTCCGCCCAGAGAGAACTGGTTTCAATATGTAAGCAGAGTATACGCAACTGCAATTAACTTTCCTTGCATTGCAACCTTGCAGATGACCAACCCAGAAGAACCGGTTTTGAATGAAATTGTGGTAAATTCAATCTCACAATAAAGTGTGCATGCTCTCATGCAAAAATCTATATCTGTCAGCATTTATTTATCTTAACAAAAAATAAATTTTAAAAACTTTCATTTACGATAAAATGTTTGACTCTCAGCACAAAACTGTTGATTATGTTTTATTAAACTATACAAATCTTTGTAAAGCTTCTGGCAGAAAACTGTGACAGCTCAGGAAAATACAACTGACAGCTTCAAGTTCAAGTTCAAGGCAACATTATATAAATTCTGCTGATGATTCATATTGATGAGTTAAACTGTAGCTCTCTGGATCTCAGTTATCTGAAGTCTTTTTTTGTCGTAAATCTCAGGATTAAGCATTGATATTCTTATGCAAATCTACAATTTCTCTTCGATATCCCGTGGTGTATTATTTTCATTATATTTTGGATGTAAAATGCAATTATTTATTTTCAAGCGTTTTAACAATCCCACCCACACAAAAATTAACTAAAATTTGCCAACTAATACTTTTCATCAAACTGTCTGTATAGACAGCAAACTATCAAAACCAAACTAAGTTACTAAGATTCTTAGGGATCCATTTAAGAAAGGAATTCCGTGATCACTATCCAACTTCAAGTTTTCTAATTTTCTTTTAAGAAAAACAAATAGTGACACTAAAAGTTTTTGTTTAATTGAAAGCAAAAAATGTGTTTTTTTCCCCGGTATGTTCTGAGCTGAAACCACTTATATTGTGGATATCAAGATTAATGCTTGATCTCCTCATTTTTTTAATTTGCAGATCAATTAAATCTTTATTTGATATCAAGGAAAGTGTGTAAAATTCAACCAATCAGAGTGTCTTTTGCAGCCAATCAGAGGACGGGAAATTTTGCACGCAAGTTTTTCCAGCTCCGTAGTTGATATTTTCCCACTTGAATCTGGATCCAGAGCACTGGTTGATATTTTCCTACTTGAATCCGGATCCAGAGCCTCTGGTTGATGGTACAGTGAGACCAATAAAACTGTGGAATAGGAAGACGACTGTTAGAATCAAGTTATGATTTTAAACAGTCCACGAAACATGAAATCCAGCAATTGTGCAGTGTACACAGACCCATGTCACTCGATATTTCCTTCACAAAGAAACATAAGACTACTTTTTATGTCGCCTTCCTATTCCATAGTTTTACCCCACAAAGGATAAGGCTTCATAGACGACTGTACGTCATTTATTCCGTCTTGTTTCTTGCGCTCAGGGCACACCGGACTTTCTTCTATTAAAAATCAAACGTGTTTTGGTCTATAATTGAGCAATCTTTTACTTTACGGATCTGTTTATCTTATACTTTTTCATTCAAAATGCATATGCCGACAAAAAAGTATTCAAGATAAAAGGCTAAAAAATTATGTCTAATGGTTCGAATTGTGATCGAAAGTCACAGTTTTCTGGAATATTGACAGAACCGTTAAATCTACGTGAGTGGTCCTTGACATCCCTGTAGCTGTAAACTTGTTCCTTTCTTTGCCAGATTATTTGATATATCTACTTTAAATATTTAACTTTCATGTCATCACATTTTAATATTTAACTTTCCTGTCATCACATTTTAAGAGTTTTAGGTCGTCTTTCAAATGTTAAAAGTATACTTACATTCCAACAATATTTATAGATGAACAGCTGGCTTTATTCTCCCCGTAGAGTTGTAGTACAGGGGTTAGATGTACAGTGTAAAGTTCTGTATCTCCTTCATATTCTACCTCTAGATAAATATACAGTACAGTACAGTATAGTACAGTATAGTACAATACAGTACAGTACAGTACAGCACAGTACAGCACAGTACAGTACAGTACAGTACAGTACAGTACAGTACAGTACAGTACGGTACAGTACAGTACGGTACAGTACAGTACGGTACAGTACAGTACGGTGGCTAGATGCATAGTGAACAGTTCTGTATCTCCTTCATATTATACCTCTAAATAAATATACAGTACAGTACTGTACAGTACAGTACAGCACATTAAGTACAGTACGGTACATACGGTACAGTACGGTACAGTACAGAACGGTACAGTAAGAACCAGAACACATTTATAACCATTTTTAGAAATATATCCGTTGCAATTAAAAAAATTAGTTCTTAAATGGACTATGCAATGTGCATGTAATTTCAAACTATACTTTAATGTAAAAAAAGAGGTATGCACGATTTACAACGGTTCCCTTTAAACTTGTATCTGATTAGTCATATGGAAGATATTGTCGCTTTTCAATCTTGAAAAGTTTTTAATTCTTCCTCAGAAAAAGCTTTTAAGCGTATCCTTGTCAATCGGAAATACGTTTACAGTCCCTTTAGATAAATACATTTACAGTCCCTTTAAATAAATACGTTTACAGTCCCTTCAAATAAATACATTTACAGTCCCTTTAAATAAATACATTTACAGTCCCTTCAAATAAATACGTTTACAGTCCCTTTAAATAATCCGTTTAAAGTCCCTTTAAATAAATACGCTAACAGTTCCTTTAAATAAACACGTTTACAGTCCCTTTAATTAACACGTTTCCAGTCCCTTTAAATAAACAAGTTTAAAGTCCCTTTAAATAAATACGCTAACAGTTCCTTTAAATAAACACGTTTACAGTCCCTTTAATTAACACGTTTACAGTCCCTTTAAATAAACAAGTTTACAGTCTCTTTAAATAAACACGTTTACAGTCCCTTTAAATAAATACATTTACAGTCCCTTCAAATAAATACGTTTACAGTCCCTTTAAATAAACACATTTGCAGTCCCTTTAATTAACACGTTTACAGTCTCTTTAAATAAACACGTTTACAGTCCCTTTAAATAAATACGTTTACAGTCCCTTTAAATAATACGATAACAGCCCCTTTAAATAATACGTTTACAGTCCCTTTAAATAAATACGTTTACAGTCCCTTTAAATAATCCGTTAAAAGTCCTTTAAAATAAATACGTTAACAGTCCCTGTAAATTAACACGTTTACAGTCACTTTAAATAAAAACGTTTACAGTCCCTTTAAATAAACACATTTATATCCCAGTGTTTACTGATTACCACTGTAGAATTAAGTAGATTTGGAACACAATAACTTTATAATAAGGATTGAGTTTGGAAAATTAATACATTACTTTCTAGAATACAGTGAGACATATAAACCTGTGGAATATAAAGACGACATTTAAACAATATTTCATGTATTTGATGTTGTTATAATAACAAATAGATGTTTAAATAGCTTAATTGAACTGGATTTACCAATGAACACAGTGCACAATTGCTGTGTTCATGTTTAATGGACAATAATGTAAATATGAGCTTGAGTCTAATAGTAGTTTTTCAATTCCACAACTATATGAGCATCACTGTATAATTATACATCTCAGCATTTGCCACAAACTTCAATTTTCTAATTCTATATCTTTTCAACCGGATGTCGTACATTTCTGATATTTCAAACTATGAATTCTGTTAGATCAATTAGATAATTTTTTTAATGTTCACTTAAAGAGTGCTTACCTAGGGCCTGAAGTTCCAGGGAGGAAGGAAGAACATGAACAAAAACAAAGTTCGGATCCAGGTCTCTAAAATCAATCAATCAATCAATCGATCAATCAATATATCAATCAAACAATTAATTAATTAATCAGCAAATTAATTGATCAATCGATCAATCAATCAATCCATCAACCAATAAATTAATCAGTCAACCAATTAATCAATCAATCAATCAATGGGTAGTAGATATAACTTCATGGGTCCCTTTATTCAAAGAGAGCTATGTTAAATTTACAACTGTACTCTTTAAACTTTATCTGTTTAAAGTGGAAGATATTGTCGTTTAAAACTTTATCTGATTAATAAAGTGGAAGATATTGTCGTTCTTCTCACTTAAAACTTTATCTGATTAATAAAGTGGAAGATATTGTCGTTCTTCTAACTTAAAACTTTATCTGATTAATAAAGTGGAAGATATTGTCGTTCTTTTCACTTAAAACTTTATCTGATTAATAAAGTGGAAGATATTGTCGTTCTTCTCACTTAAAAAGTGTTTAATTCTAATAATAATTCCGCAAACCACTTTAAAGAGATATCACAATTGAAAATAATAAATTTTCAAAGAGAAATCCTGGATATCTCATCCACCCTTGAATCAGATAAAACTGTTAAGGGTAAACAATGGAACCATCAATGGAAAAAGTTAATCTTAAAATCTGAAGTTTGAAATCAAAAAGTTTTTTTTCTGTTTAAATTTTGAAAAGTTGAATTCCGTTCTGTGGATCTGCAATTTTTTGCGGATCCGTTTCAAGGGAGTTAAAACCTTGCAGATTCAGTGGATTCGCATCCGTATCCATAAGCACTAGTGTAAAATGTAACCTGATTGTTTGAAACTTGACAGATATGTTTACAGTGTTGAGGGTCTGGGTCCAATACACAGTTGGTAACTTCTTTACCAGGGGGTCAGTGTCTTCAATAAATAATAATGATAATAATAATAATAATGATTATAATAATAATAATAATAATGATAATGATAATAATAATAATAATAATAATGGTAATGATAATAGTAATGGTAATGGTAATGGTAATGGTAATGGTAATGGTAATGGTAATGGTAATGNAATGATAATGATAATGATAATGATAATGATAATGATAATGATAATGATAATGATAATGATAATGATAATGATAATGATAATGATAATGATAATGATAATGATAATGATAATGATAATGATAATGATAATGATAATGATAATGATAATGATAATGATAATGATAATGATAATGATAATGATAATGATAATGATAATGATAATGATAATGATAATGATAATGATAATGATAATGATAATGATAATGATAATGATAATGATAATGATAATGATAATGATAATGATAATGATAATGATAATGATAATGATAATGATAATGATAATGATAATGATAATGATAATGATAATGATAACGATAATGATAATGATAATAATAATAATAATATTTTGAACTAATTAACCTGTAAATGTTAGTTTTGGTTTTCTTAAACCTAATGACATTGTTTTAAGTTGAACTGGTTTAGGTGGCTGGTTAAGAACATGTTTCGAAGGTTGAACTCCATCTACTGTATCACAACTCAAAGGAGTTGGTTTACAGGTTGGTTCAGTTTTATTATTAGATACAGTTTCGTTTTCTATAATTAGCTTCATTAGGTCTGCAGATAAACTTTTCGAACTGTTTTCATCTTCGTGTTCAGAACCTTGAACACTTTCTATTTCTTGTTCAGATCTTGATGAACTCTTTTTATCCTGTTCAGAACCTTGAACACTTTCTTTCTCCTGTTCAGATCTTGTTGAACTCTTCAGGTTCTGTTCATAAGCACCTTCTAGTTCATGTTCAACTTCTTTAGTACTCTCTAGCTTCTGTTCAATGCCTGAAAAATCATCAAGCTGTTCATCAGAAGGTGGTGAAATATCTTCAAATAATTCTTCAGTATCTTCCAATGCATCATCTTCTGCAGATGCCGGTAGATTAGATTCTTTATCCCTATCAATATCTAGAAATATATATTTTCATTATTGGTTTTAAATCAGGGTTGGATTAAAAAACCCTCCCAAAAAACACTAAGAAAACCCACTTGAAAATACGAAATGAATGTTGTCACATTATCAAAATAAAATTCAGTTGAGAATTACAAAATCCTTAAAATAAAAAAAAGAGGAAATGTTTTCTGTTTCTCTAAAACTTTCACCTGATAACTG